ATGTGAATGTGAATGTGAATGTATATGTATTTGTATTTGTATATTTATATTTATATTTGTATTTATATTTGTATTTGTATTTATACTTATATTTCTATTTCTATTTATATTTCTATCTCCATTTCTATTATGTATGTATGTATATATATATATATATTAATATACCTCGAGCCTAAGCCCTGAGGATGCATGATCCTGAGCCCTAAAGGGCCTCCCATCCGAGACCACGCTTCTGTCGGTCGGAGATGTCCCAGATTCGCTTCAGGATCTGGAGCAACAGAAAAGTGGGTTTGGGGTGTAGGGTTTAGGGTTTAGGGTTTGGGGTTTAGGGTTTAGGCTGGTTTAGGGCCTAGGGGTTTTCGGATCTGGGGCAACAGAAGGGCTCTTGGGCTTTGGTTCATTGGGAGTTCCGGTTTGGGGTGTAGGGTTTAGGGGCTTCTGAATCCAGAACCCGACACGCTGAACCTGCTACAATATACGTTCATATACTACAACAAACTATAACTAAATATACTATACTACTATACTGGGCTACGATAGAGTAGAACAGACTGGAATAGACTATAACCCTAAACCGTAATCCCTACACCCTAAAACCCTAATCCCTAAACCCTTAACCCTAAACCAGAACCCGAAGCCCAAAGTCCTAAACCCTGGACCCAACAATTCATTGCCCCTCCCTCCTCCTCCGCCGGAAGTGCAACTGTCATAGATTGCCATTCTTCCTATTCTTCATCGTCGCCTTATTATTATTCTTCTTCTTGTTCTTCTTCTTCTTAATCTTACTCATGTTCTCCTTTATATCAGTTTGTCGTTATTAATATCATTACTATTTCTATTTTCCGTGCGGCTACTATCGGCACTATCTGCATTATTGTCATGATCATTCGTATGATTGATACAGACACAAAAAGCATGATGCTGCAGAGCTGTGCGGGCCCCTCTGCCGAACCAACACCTCCGACCTGAACCCTCGAAGCCCCCAACGCGAAACCCTGAAGCATCAAAGCCTCAACCTTAAACCCTCAACCTTAAAACCCTGAACCCTCAACCCTCAACCCTAAACCCTAAACCCTCAAAGCCTCAAAGCCCTAAACCCGAAACCCTCAGAGCCTAAACTCGAAACCAAAGGCATCAAAAAACATTTGCCGGAAGAGGACCTCGCGAGGCAGCTGCGACTTGGAAAGAAAGTCAAAAGCAGCCTGCTGGGGTTTGGGGTTTAGGGGCTTAAGGTTTTAGGGTTTAGGGGTT